CAGTGTTAACTGTGCTAATAAAATAAGTGTATAATTTGTAAGGTAGGCATCAACTTTAAACATACTACATACTAAAGCCTCTGGATTATAATTACTTTAATCAGCATTAAAAGGCAACAAGTGTTATACATAACAAAGTTTAGCGTAAGTCTAACTAAGCACACACCTCACTGAACTGATGTAAAACATGAACTCTAATGTCACTTTCAGAAACACTGGGAAATATTTCACAATCACCTGTAACAAGCTAACATAAATTATTTCGTGTTCTATTTCCGTTGCAAAGACAATTAAATCCTTGTGAATAAAAGTTGTTAAATAAAACACATGTTAAAATCCTTTTATATATCATAAACTGTTTCATCATGAATTATATCATCAGGTATTTTTAAATTATGATGTAAATAATGCGTCAAAAATCCCCGATGATGTAATGAATTCATGATAAAAGATGTCAGAATTAATAACGTATGCTGCATTTGACAGCTTTTACTCACAGAGATTTAAGATAAATTACATGTTTAAAAATCTCACTAACTGCAGTAATGGTGCTTTGTTTTCATGAAAATAATTCCAACACATTTCAAGTCAATGATAAATTTCCTTTTGACCTTCGACAAGTGTGCACTTTCCAACAACAGAACTCAAATGTATTGCATCCACACATTATTATACTCATATATATATAGATTATATATATAAAAGCATCCTTTCATAAATTTTCTTTCGACCTTCGACATGTGCGCACTTGCCAACAACAGAACTCAAATTTACTATATTCACACATTATTATACTCGCATATATATAAAAGTATCTTTTTCATTGTATACATAATCATATCATATATGAATGTAATATGTAAGAATACCACAACAAATATGAAACAAACATAAATTGCTTTGCAAGTGGAGGCAAACAACTAAGGAAACAATTTCCTAATAATGAAACAATAAGGTACATTGAGTTTCTCAAGGGCTGGAGCACAGTCTTTGCACTAATAATATTGCTCAACAAGAGATAGAATTTAGAACATAAAAGAAGCATTTGGAAGGAACAACTTTCCTCGACTAGATGACCAGAGTACAACAAACTGTACCCCATACCAAAAGCTCCTGAAACATGTTTTTGAAATAAGAGGCCTACATGGCATCTGTGCTTAACAAGTTTTTGAATCTACTCCATCTACAGTTTCAATACTAATAATATAAAAATCTGTTTCCTTTCAATTTTTTTTATTTCTACTTTGATTTAGTCTTTTCTTAATAAAACCTGCCCCAAACAGTAGAGCAGGTCTGAACTAACAGCAGCACATTTAAAGCTAGTTGTATCAGTCAACATCACGAAGAAACACTGAAAGATGATACATATGAAAGGTGATCCTAATCCATCAATTCCTTGGCAGGAAGTTAGGCCCACCAACAGTCTTCATGTGCATGGGTGATGCACTAAATGCTTACCGTGCATTTATACTCTCACAACTACATAAAGACATCATTCAAATCTCACACACACAGACAAGTAACTCTCAAGCTGCAAGTGAAAACAATGGGGCATAGAATTCCATAATCTCAAGATCATAAGAGCTGTACATACTTCTTATTAAGAATAAAACCTTAGACCTTTTTAACACACTGTGTAGGCCTATCAGTCACAGTAATCTTTGTGTTCTGTGCCACCATTTGTCAAGTTGCAAAAATTCTCGTGTACTTGACACTAAAGACTGTTTCAGTTTAATATTCTTGTGGTGGTACATCATATCAGGTTATTCTTTTGTCCTTTAAAAACCTGTCAGTTTCCATTATGGTGGAGAAGCAAGGAAAGTGTATTCACAATCCCCTCGTCTACAAAAATGATATTATGACTGAATTACATACTGATCATTTATCTGAATTTCTTGCTAAGATTAGCGGTGAAAACTATAGCAAAAACCGTAGTGATAATAGAAATAATGGTTGTAGAATATAGACCAAAATAAGATGAAAATTAAAGTCTACGCAGTTGGTAAATTCCGTGGTTCTAAAGCAGCCACGATACCGACGACGACACGTTACTCACATTCAGACTAGTGACAGCAACTGGTCAAATTGCGCAATTCCAACAAGAGTTACTCGCAGGTAATCCTGGCGATATGCTGTTCCAAATAACACCGAAAGTTTTGCGGAGGCTAGATGTATGATCTTTAGCAATAAGGCATTTTAAACATGTGTAAAGAAACAAACTATTACCTAGATATCAATAAAATATGAAAGGCACTAAAAACTCAGAAATGGACTGCTGTCATACCAAATTAAATTTAAAAAATTCCTGATCTACAGAATAAATTCTTCAGAGCATAATGGAATATACCTGAAAGTTTCATATCAAGTTGGTGAAAAGTGATTTGGAATATGACATATGTCTATAGACACACGTATAACATTTTTTTGAGTCTAATTAAATTCCATGAAACAGAGTAATAAGAGATATTTAAATACAGTACACAATGTGTTAATGATTCTCTAAAGGTTTGTAACAATGAATGATTCATTATCAGAATACTATATTACACACTGTCTGTTGTCTAAGGTATTCTTCTTATAAATTGTTTTTGGAATTTGCTCTACTCCCAAAACATCATCATTGTAGTGATGCACTGTGCCTTGTGCAGGTTTACCATGGCTTTAAATGCTGTCCTTCCCTTCTGGAAGCTGTCGGTCTCGGCATCCCTGCTCAGAATCTGAGAGATTTTTCTATGTTCAGTTTTAGCCCTTTGATCAAAAACAGTCCTTCTGCTAGATGTGCATCAGCTGCTAATGTCGTCTGCAGGGACTTGGACATATTCGAGATGAAAATTGTCACACTTCTTCACATTCTATAATAGTATAATTTACTTAATTGATTTAAATTATTTTTACAAATATGCTAATATATTTAGTTGCAATTTTCTTGTGTATTAACGTCCTCCGTATTAATGTATTTTATATTCTGCTTGTTTTACCTTTTATGTTTTTATTTTGTTTGTGTGCTCATCTCTGTGCTGTATCTGTAATTGGCCTTCAGGCTGTTCATACAGCACACTAATAATAATAATAATAATAATAATAATAATAATAAAGAATTGAATTGAATATACCTCAGACAATGGTAATGTGAAACATAGTATTCATGTCACACAATGTCTTAATAAGGCCACATAATAGGACACTCTACCACAAGGACAACAGCTTCACACCAGTACCACCAATCTGATGTATTTCTGGTGATGAAGATCTCAGAAATGCAGGGGAGGAAACTGCGAGAAAAAAAATTTGCATCAATGTAAACTACTGAAAACCTAGCCTAATAAAGAAAAAAGGCTTTTGCCAATAGATGGTGGATTCTACAGTTCCAGAGGATTAGATAGTGCTTTAAAACTATTAATCATACTTGTCTTTGTAACATGTCACTGTACAAATTTTGTTTGTCAAGTTACAATGATTCATCAGTTACCAACATGACATCAAAATATTTCAAGCAGCCTCCTTGTTGTTATTTCCTAAAATATTTTAATAAAAAACAGCATACTTTTAAAATACCTTTCACCATACAAAACTTGTGTAGCCTATACTAAGTGGAGCTAGGTCTTCTCATGCCTTACAAGTTTAAACAGTTGTCATACTGCTAACAAAATAAATTAAATAAATTAAAAGTACCGAGATGTTGAAGTCTCCCGTGGTATGGCATTCATAATATATTTCACAAAAAGTGACCAGTTAATGTCCACTGATGCTTGTAGGGGAATCAAGAGACCAGAGGCATACAATTTGCTACGTGAAGTGTGTATAACATCAAATTATTCACTGCCCATCAAAAAAGCTTCAGTAAGGATGCCATACTGCTATTTTCCATTTTATATGCACAAAAATGCACTAAACCATGCTAGTATTGCTCCCATGTCATGTTTACACAGTCGATCCTTTGATGGGTGAAAATCAACAACATTATAAAATGTAAGAGTTGAGGTTTTCACAGCGGTGAGTATAAAGATTTCTTTCTTCTGGGTTGTTGCACTGTGTAGTCTGGTCGATGTTTACCAACGTTTCAGAGGTCATACTGCTTCCGTCATCAGGACGATGGCATATTCATCGCCCTGATGACAGAGGAAGTATGACCTCTGAAACGTTGGTAAACATCGACCAGACTACACAGTGCAACAACCCAGAAGAAAAAAAATCTTCAACATTATAAAAGTATGTAATGTAGAATTAACAGGCAGATCTGGCAGAAGTAACTATGAATGACATGCATAAACAAAACAGAACTAAACTGACATAAATCTTGTTCACCCAAGAGATTATCCATGTAAGTAAACCTCTTCACTAAACTCAATAATTATGATTATGACAAACTCTTCCCTTATAATAAACAAGCATTACATTCACATGCATCTATTCACTGTTAGCTGATACTTATTTCAATTGGCAAGAAGTTAAACATACCTAGTGAATACTGTATGAATAAACATTCAACATTACCTGATTCCATGATGTTTGAGAGACAACATAAACAATGCCCCCACCTTTCCTCCTCAGGTCTATAGTCGGCGCAGTAGTTTTTGGCCGGTGGAGAAGCTAGCGGACGGGCACACTCTGTGTACCTGAGGTGACACGGTCAGTGTATTTCTTTTGTTTGGGCGTTCAGTCCGATAAGCTCCTCGGTGCAGTCAGCATTATACTATCGCACAAATGACTCGCTCCTAGCCTTCCCCTTGAAAATTCCACCGGCCAAAAACTACTGTGCCGACTATACACAGAAGTGTTCTAAAAGCACTGAACTAGCAGCAGAGCTTACTTTACTCTTACTTATCACTACTCTGTGAACAAAACTTCTTAAAAAAATGAAAAGTAGAATGTTTTAACACCACAGAACAAAAGACATGTTAGTTGGAGTGACATAAACCAATGTAGGCAGAATGGTCAGTACCTTAGACCTTACAATGGTAAACATCCACCAGACCACTTGGCACTACAACCCAGAAGACAGCCATCTTCAAAGACAGATTCGTTACTAAAATATACAATATTTACCTGGATATAAGATGAATTTTTTCCTAATCCATTATCTAATAAATGGGGGATCATCTTACAATCACATAAGTTTGACAAACAGGGTGAATGTTTTTGTTATTAGTAGTACTGTGAATTTTTTTTTGGCTGGGTTTTACAGCTGTTTCCTTGTGTCACCTTTTTTGCTTTATCTCTTACCACGCGATGTCATGTATGGCAACATCCGTGAATAGACAAATACTTTCTTTAGTAGTAGTAGTGTGAAATGTTTCTAGACTGGGTAGTAGTCAATGTCAAGATGACGATGCATCTTATTTTTAAAGACTTTCTTTAACTCTTAGAAGTATGAATAATCAAACCAACTGCCATACTTTCTTTACGTAATAATAACTACGTGGGAGATTTCTAGGGTTGCATGATCAGACTTTATAATCTATTTGTAGTGATGAATTTGCTTTGTTCATATTCAGAGTTATAAAGAAAATCACAGCTGAGCATTTATCAATAACATGATATTCTAAGTACTTTGATCACTTTATGAAAAAAACAAAGGCAAAATTTCCAACTAAAACAAACACGCACAATATTTTCAATTTTAACAGATGACACAACCAAATTGCTCTGACAATAATTGATGTAAATAATGCCATTTCAATTCTGAAAAATAATATGAATACTGGAACTGCTATGACTTTGCAAAACCTTTTTAATTTTGATAACTGTTTCTCTACTTCCCACAGTTCATAATGACAATCATTTTTAAATACGATGCAATTCTTTGACAAAATCGCAATTCTTACGAGTGGCACGAAAATCTGACTGACGTGAGTATTGGTATTTTCCTGAAGATTGTAAAGGGGGGTTGTCTTATATTCAGGTAAATTTAGTATTTAAAATAATTAAAGTACTGTGTTTAGGTTCTGTTTCAGTAACTGCCTTCCACACTGACTGACCCTCCCTACCATTCTTTTGTTTACTTTGCCTCTCAAAAATCGAGAAACTATCTAAAAGTCTTCACTTTTCACTGTTATTACACACACAAAGAGAAAAAAATTAAAAGTATATAACATGTTTAATATATGCTTTGAAGTTCATTGTAATAGAGCACTAAAATAACATAATAAAACGTCTCATTTCAACAGTCTAAATACAATCAAGACTTAACTTCCTTTTTCTCTCTTAATTGTGATCTTCTTATGAAACAACTGTAGGACTTGTTTGTGTGCAGAATGACTTACTGTGATGAGACTACAAGTGAACATTATGCTCTTACATAAAGTGGTCATTAAAATTGCCTGACCTAAATAAATATTTAATGGCCTGACAATTTTTCATAAAATTCTCCAACACAAAATATAATCAGAATTGGTTTATCTATTCCCACAACATGTTTCACGGATGTGAACAGACATAAGGACGGACAGCGCAATTTTAACAGGTGCCAAAGAGGCTTGTGAACATGCCTACGACTTACCAAGACGGGAAAGTTCTTAAAGACATTCTCCCATACAACTTGTTAGCAGGATTCTCTTCTTTCAAAAAGCTAAACTGGTTCTTGTAAGAACTAGAAACAATTATTTTATGTTGTAACCAATGACTGAATCCAATATTGTTTAGCATGGTAAGTTTATGAGGAAGAAAATTATTATAAACAAATTTATTTCAATTGTTTGTGGACAACTGTTTCTGTTAATTCTACCAATAAAATTTCAACCATCATAAAAGAAGTGACCATAGAAAAATTATTCTGTCCGCTGCATATTTACAGAAGATGGTGTTACTAACATTTAATCATATTTCATGTGGAAAAGTGTCAACTGTGGCAATACAATGATAAAAACCTGGCTAATGTTAAAAAAATCTCTTATATTTTGGCTTTTACAGTCCACATGACATATTTCAACAAGATATGACCTTTTGCAGTCCAGTCCAGAGGTGTCATAGTATCTTAAGCTCATGTGGCATTGTGCCATTACTGTTGTTATTAACAATATTATATAATAACACTAATAATAGTTTCTTTGATTTGCTATCACTATCAGACATTATTTTTACAACAAACTGCAAAATGTTGGCACATAAGGAAATGGAAACATCTATAATCCAACTGTGCTATGGCATAAGAAGATTATGCAATAAGAAATATGTTACAACTCATACGCTGTTTGGAATGCAGAGCTTCAGTTAAAGTTTGTATTTTCTCTACTTACATTTTGACCTGAGATCAGAATCTAATTTATATGACATGAGTATATGTGCATCAGCGCATATAAATGAATGCATGAAAATGTGAACAAATCCACGAATGAGGAGCAAATTAAATTAGGCTCCATTAAAGCCATAAACCTCAAGGACTCTGATCTCAAAATCTCCACTTTCGCAGAGTGGTGGGTTGTTGAATGTCAAACATCGGTCTGTCTTGCCATACCGAATGTTCTCATCCATCCAGATGGCCTGTCCTTCTCTGGAACAAAAATTCATGTAGAATATAAGTAATTACACTCAATGCATGAAATATATCACTGTCTTTTGAAAGAGATGACTTTCCTAGTGCCGCTCTGTATCCAACATGGATTATTCAACTCTTTAAAACCCTAAACTGGTAGATTGGTTCTTTAGTTGGTTAATTAGTCATGATGCATCAGACAGCAAATCAAGAGCAGAGAAAATATGGAATAATTAACACGATTCAATTCAGAATTTATTATTCCAGAGACCTACCTAAAGATCAACACATACATAACTGCAGAGTGTTTCAAACATAGCTCACTTTAAATTATAAATTTTTCACAAAAACTGGGAATACTGAAAATCCATACCATTATCATCTGTTGCAAGTAAACAATAGTTGGAAAATTAAGTATAGAAGAGTGGGCAAAAGTTAATTAAGATATGTGGTAAGTGGACAGCCATATCATAAAAATGAAGTCCTTGGCCTGAAATAAATGACAATGGGTTCTCTGTAAGAACATGATCTTGGAGACCACCAACATCACTAAACATTTTGTAGAAACTGTCAATACAACTATCTGATTATTTTAATTACAGCAGTAAGATACATTCAGGTGCTCCGATACACTGAACGTCATTAACATATGATAAAAACAGAAGGTCTAAACGATGATCAGGTTCTACAGATCCATACTTACAAAATACAATAAGATGCTAAATTTGTTATTAATAAAAAATAAGAAGTAATGAAGGAAATACTAAAAGTTGTTACTAATTAAAGAGTAAGTATGGAAATACTAAAATAGATACAATTAAACAAAATTTTTAAATATAGCAATGTTTGAGCTGGGTTCTTATTGTGCTGCTGCGGGTGAGGAATTACGCAAGTTAGATGTGATGAAAGATCTTGAGGATTGGGGTTATGGTTTTATATCAAAGAAATGGCAAGATATGATATAAATTTCTTAACCATGGTTAGAGATGATCAGCGGAGTGAAGTATCTATAGAAGATGAGTTAGAAAAACTTTTGTTTGTTTGATCAAACTCGCCACAGTAGATTCTTTGCTCTGGCAAACATCTCTAACCACGAAAGAGACAATAACATTATAGAGTTTGGATGTTTTTAATTTTTTGATGCTACAGAACATGTAAACAAGCTGTATCTAAGCTTTCAAATTAGAGTTTTAGGAATAAAAGTTGCACTCACCCACCACCAATTGTAATCATCTTGGAGTCAGCCGCCATAAATAGCTCAGCTGAATGACTAAGAGTAGGATCACCTTGAGCAGAGTCCATACCCACCCAAGGATACTTTGCTCTTTCTGGGTACAGGCTGAAGAGAAATGTCTCCCCAGTTCCAAAATACGTCTGTCGGTTCCCATGATCATCTTTCACATTTCTTTCATACCATCGTGTTGAACAATATGCTCCGAACACCTGTAAACACGCATCAGTCACTTTGTAAGATGGTATACATTTACAATAAAGTGAATTAATTATTCTGTACAACTCACAGAATTTGGTCACTTCTTGAAATGAAATGGGGGATTCCAATAAATTCAGGAACACTGAATTTAAAATTCCAAACACCCATAATATCTTTCAAAAGTGGAATGAAATCTTTCACACATTTTATTTTTTTAACACGTGTAAAGGTAAGAAAGGCCAATTTTGTATCATCACTTCATAGCTGTAGGTATGACAAGAAACACAGTAACTTACCCAGAAAGTTGATCCAGTTAATGTGCATAAAAATTGGTGCCTTCTTTGGCATTATCACATGGCTAAAATATCTGCACATGTATGTTAAATTAAAGCCTTTTAAGCTGGAAATGAATCATCTCAGCCTGATTAAAGTATTACAATTGTGTATAAAATATAACTGCTCTAAGGAAAGGGTTAAACAAAAACACAAGGCAGGCTGTAAAACAGCCACATGGGCATGATGTGGCATTTTTCCAAACAATCGCATGACCAACAGCTGCATGACATTATGTTAATAACTAGGGTTTGGATGTTCGTGACCTAAAAAAACCGAGAAATATGCATGCAAATATGACCCAAAAATAGCGAAATATGACCTAATTTTATTATGAAAAAATATTCTCTAAAATTTAAAAAAAGCGTTTTATATTTCAATCATGTTATTTATTTATATATGCATGTACAACCATTACATTACTTGATTTCCTAGCAATTTTAATCAAAAACCTCAGTCGCTTTAAGCTGTAAATGCCTCGTTTTGGATCAGCATCAGATGTTGAGTATATGTGCTCCTATAAAAATAAGATAAATTTTAAGAAAGTGCCTTTCATGCATTCCAAATCCATTAATTACAAATAAATAAATAAATAAACAAAATTCAAAATAATAAGTACCTTTCTTCATTCTCCTTTCTTGGCATCATTACAATATATAACGATTTGCATTTTCAAGGTCTCAAATGAAAATCTTCTTAGATTGTCACACAATATGGTCTTATAACTTGAAACATCACAAACGTTTCATGGCGTTGTTGAAAAGTACAGCGACAGAGGAGTGATTCACTGTATCAAGAAGGTATAAGTCACCAGGGCGATCAGCTAAGAGCGTGCCAATAACGACATTCGCTACAAATCTGCCGTAGACATCCGTTGTTTCATCAATTGAAACCCAAATCGTATTGTACATGTAATTTTTTTCAGAATCTTCATAACAGGCAGGTACACAGGTTTTTTTTAGTGTTGATTCGTCTGGAATTAACTGAGTCATGTATTTCTCCAAGAAAAATTTGAACTGCTCATTGTTCACTTTGTTCAGTTGGCAGACGCCATCATTTCACACAGGTCCTTTGAAAATTCCGATGTCTTGTTTGATGGTGAAGGTGTTGCAGTGTTATAGAACAGAAGTCGTTGCTCGCATTGACGACTGGTTTGTCGGCTCAAATTATTTTTGTTTTACCGTATCACAATGTTGTTGCTCATTAAATCGCTTACCAGCTGTAACTTTAACTTCACAAAGTTTACAGAACAGAATTGTTCCATCAGAATTAAAATATTCCTCGCCAAAATCTTTTACTAAACCTCTTAACTTTGCACTTTCAGAACACTTCACTTTCAAAATCTTAACTAACTGAAGGATTCACTGTAAATGCCTGAGAAATGTAGTTACAAGTAAGAATTTTATAACCAAAATATGAATTTAACTACAAATATGACCAAAAAATAAAAATGACCTAAATATGCATTTATATGCAAAATAAAAGAGCATAATTATGATTAGGATAACCCAGTAAGTGTTTAATTTCAGTTTTGAATGAAAATAGAAGCCCCAATAAAAATGTGACATGTCACGAACATCTGAACCCTATTAATAACCAATACAAATGCATCATCCCCATGTTGAATTGTTATGGCAAGTTATTCAACTTACTTTCTTATATTTTATGAATAAGTGACAAATATAATTAATACAGTGGATAATGGACCAATCTGTAATCAGTAAAAACAAACTTCACTTAAATTTACATGCAGAAGAAAATATGTTCTCTGCATGTGAAATGCAAAGTGAATATGAATACTCTACTTTGCAAATATTCATTAGAACACATTGGAGATATCTGATAAACAGTTCAATTATGAAGAAATTTATACCTAGTTGAAATATTTATGAAGTTCTCAATAGTTCATAATGCCTTTAGTCACAAAATCTTAAACCAACCATAACAATAAATATAACATCCATTATTTTTTATTGAAGAGTATAACAGTAAATGTCTTCAAACCTCATTGTTGCACGTCTTGATCATCAGCAGAGTTGGTTCGTGCTGCTCTACACGAACATAAAAGGTCGTCAGGCTGCAGCCATGTTCCTCAGTAGTGTAGAGGAGGACAGGTTGGTACATGGTGATTCTCACTGGCAGCCAAGTCCACAATGTAAACAGCTGCAATATATATTTTCCTCCAGTAAGTTTACTAAATAATACAGCTCACACTATTTTCTTCAGTGACGGTAAATACCGGTTGACTCTTGAACAATACACAATTTTTACAGGGTACTTAAGATAGCACGTAAAGGAACTGGAAATACGGAATACAAGATCCACAATGCTATTTCTTCTTCTTCCTACACGATCAAAACTAGCTCCTGCTTAACAGACAAGTTGGTATTCCAATTTCTGGTAAAGATTACTCTTATGTAAAAGAATCAGTACCTAATTAAGGACTTATAGTACCAAATCAGGTGGTAAAGGTGAGTACGGGGACCAGTATCCTGGTGCGGAAAATGCAGAAACACCTCTCATCTCAATGAACCCCAGGGTTCCATAAAACCAATGACGGAGACAAATGCTCAAGTAACTAAAACTACAGATTCTGAAGAAATAATCATATATGACAGTATTAACAACTGTTCTCAAATTAATGTTCACTTATTATTGCCTAGAGCTTGTGTATAAGAACTGAAGACAAGCTTTCCCTTTAACTCCACATTTATATCAATGTACTGGATGCTGAGCTTCTGAAGAACTTAATGCCACTCTACCAACTACAAAGGATCTTGACTGTGACATAGAGAAAAATGTGATGTAATATAAAAACTCTGATTTCAGCTTTTCAGAGTTCTAAATAAACATAATTTCACAGGAACTGTCTTTAAGTTGTCAATGGTATATAAAAAAATCTACTTACATCAATGTATTATGAGTAAATAGACAATACAAACAATCCAGTGTTGTAGAACATGTGTACTGTGTGGAACATATTTTTCTTTAAATTCTGCGACTAGTTTACATGTATGGATGGAAAAACCATAATAAGTTTTGGTTTAATGTGTGTAAGTTGTTCTTGGTTGTGACTGCAGACTCAAGACTACTACATGACCAAAATAAGAACAATACCAACATCTTCACCACCATGAGAACCTCAAATATCACACTTGGTTTGTTGTTATAAATTTTGAAACAGTAAGACCTGTTCATTTTCACATTCTTTTCAATGTAGTGAACATCATTTCTATTGAAGATTTCTGTCTTCTGGTTTGTTGTGCCATGTAGTCTGGTCGATGTTTACCAACGTTTCAGAGGTCATACTGCCTCCGTCATCAGGGCGATGAATTAGGCAATTGAGTGGAGAGGGCTAGGTTTATAGGGAATGGAGTAGCCTACCCCTATCTCCAAAACGTTGTTAAACATCTACCATACTACACGGAGCAACAACCCAGAAGACAGAAATCTTCATACTCACCGCTGTGAAAACCTCAAATCATACATCATTTCTATTAATTTACACCATAAAATAAACTTCCCCTGAAAGCTTTTAATTAAAAAGAACATCTGTAGACACAAACAAAAAATCACTGAATCAGGTGGTATCATGCAGTTGTGAAAATTGATCAATTACAAACATTTTACTAGTTTAAAATTCTGTTTATAGGTTTGCAAATTCATGCACATGTCCATTCATACCTACACATGCTAGAACTTAAAATGGATACATTAAGTTAAATTTTAGTTTATTCATCCCTTGACCTATCCAAAATCAGAATTAACTGCTACTGCAAGCATCAGAATATGCCAATTAATAACAACTCATCAGAAGCACCTTCATTATGTGTGTGTGTGCGCATGCACACTTGTATGTGTAATTATACTGTTAAATTTGAAAAATGTTTAAAATTTATAAAGTTTAAAATAATACCACACAACATACAGAAGAATGATTTTACATGAAATTACTGATGATGATGGGGTTAGAGAATGAGACTTTGTCAAACTAAAAAGTATATATCTAATCTAATTTTTAAACATATATCCCTCCAAACTTCTCTTGTTGAAGTGACATTCATTCCTTGTCATTGAGAGGGGCCACTTCTGAATGACTGCAAAATTAAGGTAGACACATTTATAATTAAACAGATAAAGCAAAAGAAAATTTAACAGAGGAGGTGAAGAAGAAGACAGTGATACAATTACTAAGAAGAGTATTAGGTTAAATGTGAAACAGGAATATAGTTTTGAAAAACTTGTCACATTATTCTGATAATAATAAATTGACACTAAAAAAGAAAAAAAAAAGAGGAAATATCATAGATAATTAAAACATATCAGCCAACAGTTACTTATGTATGCTGATGATGGCAATCATTAGGATGAGATGGTTGGAGTATGTGATTTAAATATATGTGGGGGAACGTGACAAATCCGAAACCAAAATGTTACTGGACTTTTATTCCAAAACAGTGCCCGCTACATAATATCACTTCATCGACAAAACTATGTTTTGATAAAATAAGACTAATTAACCTAGAGATAGTTCAATTCTAAAAGTTTTTGAGTAGGTTTTATCTGAAGACAGAGATAGACTCCCATCTCTGAAACATCATTGTTTTTATTGCTTGTATTTAGTACTGGACGAAGGATAATATCCAGAAAACAGTTTACTTCAACCTAGAGATATATCAGTACCAAAATGAACAGTGGTCAGAACACATTAATGTGAGTAATGTCTGTATATCTTGAATTAAACTATCAGTGTATACACCACAGAAAGATGCATATAAAATTGTGTTAAATCATACTTTAAAATCTTCTTCATTCTTAATATATATTTTATTTATTTATTTATGATTTATCGTTTATGTAATGATGTTGTCAGCAGCATAGATATACAGGTATGACTCGGTTTATGCCGCTTCAATTTACACCCGCTTCACTTTTGCGTCTATCATAGATCACGATTGAAGGGTGATGAGTCATGAGTCTAAAACTTATATTGTAATAAAACCATAATATTAAATGATAAATTACAACCTAAAATTTAATTAATTAAACAAAAAACGGAATATAAAATGCGACCAGGAAAAGCAAATTACATTAACCACGGACAAAGAACTGCAAGCGAACTGACAAACATGCACTGGCGTCTAGAGAACAGGACGCTGAATGTTAAGTCTTATTGGTCCTACTCCCACCCTTGACGGCCACTCCTACTCTCCAGTCCCTTTAACAAGTGTCTTCTTTTTCCCTCCTAGTTGCTCTCAGTTCTCAGTCTTTTTCTTAAACATTATCTGAAACATTATACAATTTTCAATACGTAAATTTCATAAAATAAAACATTTTTCAAGTATTTTGTGTTGATTACTGAAAATCTCGGAACGGAACCTAATGTATTTACATGTGTTCCCATTATATTTTTGCTTCAATTTACGCTGCTTCATTTTACACCGGAAATCTCAGGAACCTAACCCCGGCATAAACCATGTCCTCCCTGTATAATGTTACATGATAGGCTGATGAGTAATGAATTGAAAAGTACATGGAAGAAGTGGCTGTGGCATAATTCAAGTACTATCCCGGCATTTGCTGGGCGGGGACTGGGAAAAGCCATGAAAACCTTAATTAGGATAACTGATTTCCAGACAGATATTTCACAATGTAACCACCCAAATATGAAGCAAGAGTGCCAACCAATGACATGTGACATTCGGTTTAATTTCTATTGTAATCTGTTTTTAGGTTCAGTATATACAACTACATTTAAGACAATAAATATAATGGAAAAATTCACAAAGACATACATGTTTTGGCTCCTATTTGGCAGCCTAAAAATGAAGAAATGGGTATCTTGTAATAAAGGATAATACTTACTCTTCAATGGGAGAGGTTACAGCATTTGTAACTATATCAAAAGTTCACAAACGTTATACTTTACACCACACCATGCAGAACTACAGACACGATATTACCATGCACAACTACTTACTTCCTCTTGATCTACCACTTGAGACCTGATGATATGTATGGGATAAGGTCCCATGGAAGGGGCCCGAGCACCAGGAGAATGAGATCCCTTTAGGCAGCACAGAACAGAGCACAACCAACAAACACACCCTGTAAACCTCTAATATAGATAGTACAACAAGACTGTTAGATGAAGAAAATGAGAGTATTGCAATGCTCAAGAATGTTATAAAAGCCCATTAAGTTTGACACACCAGCAGTTCTCCTTTTGAATGCTGTATTCATACAACTGTTACATATAACACACACTGACAATATAGTTCACTGTTCAACTAGCCTTCACACCTGACCATCAAATGCCTGAAAATACTTGAAACATCTCCGAAGCATGTAACATCCTTTTACTGAACTCTGATCGTTATCGATAATTTTAAGAGAAAGAAACTATGCACCTCATTTCATGAAAATGATCAATAAAAAGTAATCATGTTCAAAACTGTTCTAAATTATAAAATCATAAAATCACAATGTATCAAAAGCTGAATTCTTTTTTCATCATCAGGTAAGAATTGGAAGGGGGGGGGGGGAAGAATACAGAGGTCCAATCTGAGGCTAGCTTAAACAAGGGGGCCAAAAGATAGGTTTTCTGTCTACCTCTCCTCTATTTCTTACCTGATGAAAACTGCAGAATGAAGCTTCTGAAATCCTGTTATTTTATAATTTTGGTTGGATAAGTCCAAAAGAATAGTTTCACATGTTATAATGCACCACCACCAGAAACCTTCAAACTTAAACAAAACGTAATTACATTAAAAGACCTTCCCGAGATGCAGGACCATATGAAATAAGAAGGGCACTGAACTACGAAATGTGAATACACTTTTAATATCAAAATCTGAAACCAGAAATTTTCATTCAAATGTCAAGTTAGAAGTGTATCTATTGGGAGAGTTTAAGTCTACACATAGATTCATATGTTACAAACATTTAGTCATTTTTAGTCAAAAGACAAATGGTGTCTGAAAATGCAAAACGTCGCCACTTTAATGTGGTTTACTTGGAGCTAAAACTGATTTAGTATTTCAGCTGAATTTGATTTAGTATTTCAGTTGTGGAGGGAAAGAAAAAAAAATATAAGACTGTCTGTTTATAGTGATTACATGCAATTTAAAACCAAACCACATGATGCTGAAACACAATTTGTAAGACTCTCTCTCAATGTCTTCCTTTTCCTTATCTATAACCAGAGTAAACCTTTTCATATCACAAAATTCCCTGAATTTACAGAAATTCTGACATATGAAATTATGATTAGTTCCTTTATCATGCAATTAAAATATGAATTTAAAAGGAACTATACCATGTTCTTTCATGCATTTTAGTGATCAATATCACAAAACTGGAGTTCGCAATGTGCTTAACAAAATGAACAAGTTAAAACAGCTAATTTTTCACATAAATCAATGTAATTTAAAAGTGTTAAATTGCAAAAATAATCACAATTATGATGAAATGTGAAGTTTGCTAGTAATGGTAAGACACAAATAAACTAAGCATTATAACATGAACAACGTTAACTCGCATACCTATGCATCCAGCACGAAAATTACCATTATAACAAAGTACAAACCCACCTGGCACTAAGAAGAAAGAAAACAAAGCAGAGGTATAAAAAAAATGTTAAAGTTACATACCTGGACATCCAGAAGAAAATATTACAATCATAATGAAGTATGATGTCAATGGTACAAAAAACCCAAATAAATAATATAATGGAAACCAAATAAAAAAATGTCATGACAATAAATCAAGTACATGATCAAAGAAAACAAATAGCATACTTTTACAAGTTACAGCAAGGAAAGGAATTTAGTTATGAGTGCTGCCTAGCTTTTGGGGTAATATTAATACAGCCACATTTCACAACCCATTATAATACTTATTAAAATGTTTAATTGATTTCAGCACAATTAAGTCAGATTCCATAGACATGTGATTTTCTTTCAAATTCTATGCGAGCAACTGCAACACACCTAATTTCCAAATCTTCTGTTAATATAGCAGTAAGAAATTTCTACACATTCAGCCCTTTCATAAGCAGTCATCCCATTGTCTTCTGACATTAAATGAGCAGCCAAGTCATAATTCATATTGGTAAAAACTCAAACACTCAAATCACTCAAAGGCTGTCTTCATCTCATTGTATCTATAATAAATGTTGGTAAAGTGCCTTTCACGTTTTCTTACAACACGTAGTGCACACTCAATTTTATCAGTACTCTCAGACGTCATTAAATTAGCATGCAAAATAATCACTATGACTTTAAGCACTAACGACAAACATCTGAAGCAATGAAATAATGCCGTAAAGTGGCCTGGATATGTAGTGCAATGTCAGGACATGTTCCTTAACACTGTGTTCTTGCAGTGTGATTTGTCTGAGATGTAAATCGAGTCCAGAAACGTACTGACTTCATATCATCAGATATTAACCATTTTCTTGTGCATCATTTTTTCACTGCTATCCTAAATTAATGCAATTTTAAGGTAAAAATCTGAATTCATTACAAGGTTTTGGCTATATTATGTACACACATAAGTAAAAAGTAAAGATTGTCCCGCTACGTGCCATATAGGCGCTTGGGGTGAGTGGAGGTATAGCTCCTCTCTTTCTTGACCTCGGCACTAGATGGGGTGAGTGGTCAGCATCACGCCCCGGCCGGCTTTACCCCCGGGAAAGGACCCCCGGTACCAATTGTAGAGGAGGCTGGGTGGGCCCCAGAGCCGGTCTGGACGCAGAGGCTAGAGGAAAAATCCTCTGCCCCCGTCGGGGATCGAACCCCAGTTGTCCAGCCCGACACACATAAGTACAAATGACTAAAATTACAATGTAGCAGCCATGTATAATTTCAGATTTTTCAAACAAGATATTAGCACTTTGCAAACCAAAAACAAACATGTGTCTATAGCTCAGAGAATAAACTTGAGCGTCATAGCAAGTGGAGAAGATTTTTCATTATTACAGATTAAAGTTGATTTTGCAGTACACAGTAATGCATGGACATCTGGGGTTAATGAAGTAAATGCTCGACCATTAGTGCCTGTTTATTGTCTCGATGAAGATGAAAGTGCTTTTAAAATATTTTAAAATTTTTAAATATCAGAAGCAGAGAACAAAGCAGGTGAATAAAATTCTAAAATCTATGTAATCATACTTTCTTGTTGCAATAAGTTAGTAAAGCAATGGAAAAGAAGAAAAGAAGATAAAGAATGTTGAAATCCAACATGAAAGTTGAGTGGAACAATCTGAACAAAGAATGTGATTTTCAAAACTGAATTTCATGAAAAAATTAATCAGTTACGGTACCACATACAAGTAGCTATAAATCTGAAGAATTCATGGTGACTGTATCCTTACATGATTGTTCACACAATAAATCTTAATAAAATGATGAAAATGTTTCTTTTTCTGAAGCTTGGTGCTACTAGCAGAAAGTTATGAAAGTAATCACTTTGTTCTGAAGAAAAGATCTGTATGTATGAGACTTGGGCTCAGTTCCATACATTTGTAAAAGATGAATATCTACTGCACTGTTCACTATTCACATTTTCTACTGAAATTTCAAGGGCCATTATTCTAGCATACTGCATTTAACCTACCTCTCTGATGGTAAGTGTGTGGGACATCATCTGGATATTGACTTGTGACTGACTTGTAGGAAGGTTGTCACTAGAGCGAGATCTCACAAGTTGTCGGGAGCAACTCAATTCAGTTCGACTCTTCAGCAACATCTTTGTTTTAACAAAAACTCTTGCGATATATGCTGAACTTAGTGCTCGAATGCCAAATGCTGTCCGCAGGAGTTTTGTAGATGTCACCTATGAAAAGTTTGAAGATATTTTAATTTAATGATTCATTATCTGGTAATTTTACAAATTAACGAGTGTATTTTAGAATTATGCTATTTCAGCTATGGAAGAACACTTTCTTACTACACAAAGTACAAACAGATAATGATGGAGGATAAATATTGTAAGTCACTGAAAGAAAACAGCAGATAAAATGTCAAAGATTCAGCACTGCATTTTCATTACCCAAATGGCCAATTGCAACTATACATAGTGACCACAATGTAAGCCTTTGCATTCTGTTACTGAACTGCATGTAACATGAAAAAAGAAAGTTCATACCAGTAAACTTAGTCTGCCAAGTGATAAAAATAGCATGTTTCACAACATTATTTGCCATTTTATACTGTACATTGTGGATAAATATTTAACTTTTCAAGCAGGTTACCTGTGAATGTACTCAGAGCTACAAGCTTATCTATCAGTGAGCAAAATGGTGTATCCAAGCCTTTCACATGGTCTAAATTTGGAATAGAAAAAGTTTTATAGGAACCTATTAACAACAACATTAGAATTTGTGATATGACAGTGAATTAGATAGTGATAAAGATGAAAATAATGTTGTGATTGAAAAATCATCAGATAGTGAAGTGGAGTGAGTGACGCTGATGAGGCAGTGGGCAATTTGCAATTGAAATGCCCAAGACAGTAGGAAACACTTTACAATTTGTATGATGCAAATAAAATATTCTCTGTTAACCGTGGGCCTCTAAATCACGTGACCTATGCTTCAGAAACCTTTAAACATCTCTCTGTAATGGAAACAATTATTTAGGACACAAATCACTATTCCACAAATTTGGTAAATGCAAACCCCGAGAAACCTGGTATTTTGTTGTTTTTTTCTCTACAAATCCTGCTTGGTTTGGCATAGATGATAAGTGATCTAACCACAAAACCAGCAACATGGCCCCTGTACCCTCTATTTGATTTTGAATATAAACAATAAAATATGTAGAAGTATAGTTTTGCAACAACTTGCAAAACTTAGCAATGAATTTCAACATGTCACATTAGAAATGTATCAGTTCTTTTGACCCATAATGTTTATTATGGTGTGTTATGTCATGTCCATAACATTCCAAAGGAAAGCTAGAGAAATATCTGTTCTATTCAAATATAATTAAGTTTTTTAAATGCCCAACACTGTGAATCACACAAAGACAGTCTGGATTTCTAAGGTACTTCATGGTCCAATACTGACTTGACAAATGGCAATACATGCTCTCAAGTATTCATAACAACAAGGAAGAAACAGTATTTACACTTATACAGAGCGTGGCAGTGGAATGTGACGGTTTTCAGAGCGCTATTGTGGCAAACTCGGGTTGAATTAAAATAAAACACACAATGCAATTTATTAATCTCTGCTTATTTCTTAATAATAACATTTGTCAAGTGGCCTCCATGACAACGAATACATTCTTGTAATCTAGACCGGAAATTGCCCATAACTCGTCACAATAAAGCAGCATCAATTGCTCGAATTTATTCGGTGATGCATTGTTTCAACTCCATGATGGTGTGTGGTTTGTTAACATACACTCTAGACTTCAAATATCCCCGTAGGAAGTAATCGGCAGCCGTTAGATCAGGGGACCTAGGCAGCCAGGAGACGTCTCCAAATCGGGAAATGATGTGTCTGGAAAACATGGCTCGCAAACAGTTCATCGATTCACAAGCTGTGTGCACTCTGCACAAATTTAATTTTGTAGAGATGAAATCTGAGGTCCTCATGCAGAATACGGTGAACACTCCTGTCCAATAGGTGTAATGCAGCTGACCGATGCCTAGCAGAGCAAGTTGGATTCTGCTGCACTGCTTCCCTAACCTTCGCAATATTCTCTGGTGTGCGGACTGTTTGTGCACTACCAGCAAAACGATCACAAACACTGCCGGTGTTACTGAAGTTTTCCACCCACCTCAAAATAATGTTATGGGTAGGAATGCACGCCTAAATCTTCTCTGGACCTGGATTACTGATTTGCATTCAATAAATGCTGTTACCGCGAATAAGCATTCCGCCACTGGCCAGTTAGCCATACTGTCTCTCACTACACTGGCAGAAGAAACTGTATCCCTTGGCGGTCACGTAGCCACACACACTTCCCCAAACACTCAATACTGTTAGCTGCAGCTGCACTCTGAAAACCGTCACATTCCACTGCCGCACCCTATATATATATATATATAAACTGCACATAAATTTACACTACTTAATGAACATGGCTACATTTATCCTATGTTAAAGGGGATTTATACTTTACCGGGATTTGTTTGCAGAACTTGGTGAGAGCAGAGTCAATTCCACTTGTTAAAATGTCATTCATCCACTCAGAATGTTGAGGTGCTGAGTGCTTGTAGAACAGCAACAATATAGCCATGGCAACACGATAAAGAACCTTTATTCCTTCATTGAAGAAACAGTCCATCACCCGAACCTGTTTTAAATACAAGTTAAAATTTCAAGAACAAATTAACTACATTACAATAGTGTCATTATATGTAAAGCAAGAAGTCAGTTGTCTATTTTGTGAATCTTGGTCCAGCCAAATGAAGTGTTGTAAACTGATTTAATGCCATATAAATTATGAAAACCTCTAGTTCACTCATTTATCCATAGATATCAGTAATTTATGGCTGTATACAGAGCTGTTATACATAATTATAGTTGTTTTCTGTTTTCTATGGATGTGAAACTTGGTCTCCCACATAGACTGAAGTTGTATGAGAACTGGGTGCTGAAGAATATATTTGGGCCCTAGAGGGCAGAAATAACAGTAGGGTTTGTTAAGCAATCTGTTCATTGCTGATCTGCTTCAGGCTTCTTGCAATGTAATTTTATGAAAAATTCTCACTGTTCCTGGACCACATGTGTGTTGGTAAAATATTTTCACTAAAACACACATTGCAGTTGTCATTAGGTTAAGCACAATTCCTCATGTTGCTATGTTCAGCAACACTCTCAGTTCTGTACACTACGTAATTCAGTAAACATATGCAATTTAAACAGTAGCAATTTTCTTTCACAAGTAATATGGCAATAAAAATTTAATGAAAAAAGAGAAAGAAATCCTGTTTCTTAATCCAAAAAGAAACAAAGGCAGAAGGTAATGAACCCCTGAATTTAGTTACTTTCTGTCTTCGTGTTTTAGAACAAGGCCTTTGCAACGAAAATACTACAATTGTAACCAGGAGCATGTATGTAAAAATAACATTCCAAAAGCTTACCAAATGAGTAAAGGGCAGTCCCTGTAGGATCCACCACAGCCAGTCCATGAATATGCGTTCAGTGCGAGTACTGGGGCAATGTCGTGCCACATGTACTGCAGCTGATTTCTGAAATGAAATCAACCATCTTTTGTTGATCATGATAAAAACAAATAATGTCCAATTCATAAGAAAATATAATTAGTTTCAAACAAAACTTTATAAATTCATCATACAAGAATATAATACCAAATGTGAAAATATTTATTGAAAATCCTAGAGTTGACAAAGGTTATTTCAGAATACTATTGAAATTGCCACAATTAAGCAGTCAATAGTGATATCGTGAGATGATTGTGCTGCACACTGAGCTACTGCTCACAGCACCAAGACCTCTTAACTGTAGGATGAATCCATTTGTAATTGGTTTCATTTGTATATTCATGGTTAGAGGGACTGATCAATAATACCAATTTCAAGGGTCATGGTTAATCTATGTTATCAGTTCTGAAAACAGAATTATTCTATTATGAATTATAATTTGTAATTCTAAATTAATGTACATTTGTGATTACAGCCTTTTTAACTTTTCCTGATGACAGTCTGAATTAAAAGGCTAATCTTTCAACAGTTAAAACATAAATCGTGTTTGTGAAATTTTGGTTATCACAGTCTTTGTATATAAGAATTTATGGCAGTATTAAAGCGGTGATACAATAAATATATAAATAAAGGTTGAGGCCATCATCATAATTTCATGACATCACACAGCATGTTTATTCTTAAAAACAATTTCATGTACAGTGTTTGCTTGCTGAGGTCATCACCACTTCATCAAAGCCCCTTTAGCCATCTTTTTCAGAGTTCCTGACAGGCCCAGCTAATTTCTTGCTTTACTTCATCTTGTCATACAACCAGATGTTTGCTTCCATAAGGCTGCAGGGTTAGATTTTGGAACATTTTCAAATATGCAGCAGAAAGATTAAGACATGTAAGGATTACAAGCAGTAGAAATGAATATTTGAGGTCTTCACAGCGGTGAGTATGTTGATGAATATTCATCGCCCTGATGACGGAGTTAGTATGACCTCTGAAACGTTGGTTAACATCGACCAGACTACACAGCGCAACAACCCAGAAGACAGAAATCTTCAGTATAAATGAAACTTGCACAGAGTACGAAATGAACAAAATGGAATAATATACAAAACCATAACATAAGGCAAGTTCTGAAACCAGAAACAGTACAAGAATAGTTGATTAAGTCAAGGTATGGGTGTCACATATGGATGACAATGATTCCATTGATAGTTTCATAAATGAAGTTGCAAAATAAATGGCAATTAGAGAGATAAAGGACAGTGAAAAGATCAAATGATGAAAGTTATACAAGACAAAATAGGTAAAGAGTGGCCACAAATACAAATGTTCTTATGTGAGGTTAGGGTAAAGGCTTTGCTCTAGAATGACTTATACAGATGTAAATTTCAATGAAGAACTGTGGTAATAAATACCATGGTAGTCATGTTTGTTCTTTCTAATTTCCTCAACACACCAAGAAATGAACAGTGCAAACTTCAGAGATGGGAGCAATGTCAGTGCCTCTCATAATGCAGAAATCTGTAATTGTCTGTGGAATGCAAGACAACATGGTGGCAAAAGAGGTTTGACGGAAGTATGATGTACTTTAGTCATGTGTGATTTTTACGTTGTTCTGGTACTTGTAAACTTATCTACTGGTTAATGTATAAAAACTATACAAAACGAAACATTTAATGTTAAAAGTGTTACATCTAAATAAATATAATCATATATTTACCACATGCTTCTTGGTGATCTGCATTACTGTTCTCCAAGTTACTTCATACAGCTGCTTCGTCTGGGTGAACATCTTATCTTTGGCAGCTATAAGGCTTGCCATGCAGTTATAGCATTCTTCCTCTAAAATAAAATGAAACTAGCCTGTATAAACTGTGGTCTTCTAGGTTGTTGCACCATATAGTTTTGACTATGTGTTTGTGTAGTACCATTTCATAGGCAACACATTCCTATGAAACGTTGATATACAAACACAAAACTACATGGTGCAATAATCCATAAAACCATAACCTGAACACAATTCCACGCCTCAAAACTTAATCTACATTACTTCAACCACAACACCATTATAATGTGCTGCACATTAACATTTTAAAACACAAAACATTAGAAACATTACTTCTGAGAAGAAATTACATGATGCAATTAATTATTATTTTAAATAAACTAAATAAACAATTCTGTACTAAGCTGAATGTCCATTTTGACTATTCCCACTCCAAATAAAAATAAACATATACAAGTAGATCAAACTGAAAATGCAGCAAGTATCTTTATAAAATGGGACAAATCCAAAATGAAAGGAACAGTTTTAAGACCAAAATTCAAAATGCTAAGGCAATTTATGTAATAACTGGCCACTTTAAAAATTCAATACATCTGCAAATTTAACCATCCAAGTCATTCAACCAATTCAGAGTGCTACTTCAACAGCAACGTTCAGAAACACAGTGCTGTGCAGTGAGGTACTGGCCATTCCACCGACACCTATAAACCTGATTTGGTGGGCTTTGCTATTCAGAGAGATACTCTGAAAATCTATGACAATCATTGATTCACTAAACTAACACTTTATTGTACTTTTTCCATTGTCTGAAGTAGTATATTTGATACAACATTCCCATCTTCAAGTAACCGATTGGAAAAAATTTATTACTTTTATTTTTAATGGCTGGGATTGAACCGAGACCTTCTGAATAATGATCCCCATTTGTCTAATTGTTAGGATACTAACCCGATATTCGAAAAGTCCTTGTCATCAAAATTAAGATTAAGTGTAATACAAGTCTGTCAGTACAACAACAATCATCTACAGACAGGAGTAGAGACAAATAAAAATCATTACATTAAACAATGAAAAATTTTCAACAAATAATTGGTATAATATTCAGAGAAATATGTAAACAATCTGTTATGAACACCACTTAACAATAAACTGTACAAATTGTATGTATTTACAAATATAGTTTAAAGAAAACAAGTTTTAGAAGAAACATGCACATGTACCCACAATATTCTGCCTAAGCCATGACAACAATGGGATACACATTCCAGTTACACAAAATTTGAACTTTTAATTCAATAAACCATACATATTGGATACCTGAGTATCAAATTCTCACACAGACTTTAACAGCATTTCAAACAGTGAGGCTACAATCCTTGTACTAAAATTTTGTAACTGACTTTATATTAATTCATTGTAACAAATTTATTTACCACACTCCACATACTTTACAAAAGTATGAACTAGAAAAAGTGCCCTCAGACATTGTTTTCCATATTGTGAAAACCAAGCAGGCTGAGGAGCAAAGCAAGCCTACATTTGTTCTTGCTCATAATTGGGAATTTGCTTCAACATACACAGTTCACATCAATTCATAAAAAATCAATAATAAACATGCAGTAAGTTAAAATTAGTCCTTTGTTGTGTATGCACAAAATTCTAGCCATAACAAGATATAACACACAACACAGGCCACAAAAGCATTAGTTTTCACAGAATACAGGAGAGGAAAGAAAAAAGCAAAGAGTAGAGAATAAAAATAAAGCAGGCAAAGCAGTGACATGATACAAAACAAAGCTACTTACAATACAGCAGAAGCTTATAAACTGTTCAAGAATAATCTAAGCACACAGAAATTCAACCATACAGGTACTGGTGTTTAATGTAACACATTTCGTACTCATTTTATATGTGAAGTATTATTACCTGCGGCTCAATATTCAATCCTACATTCACAATGGTATGGTACTAATAAAAGTCTATCACAAATTGAACGTTGGGCTGTATAACCCTTCGAGCATAAACATCATTTACATAAAATTTATAAACAAGCCCTACCTCAAAGAAAACATGTCTGCATTACAAAAGTAAATTAGTTCATGCTCTTTAGAAAAATAACTACTGTCTATTCCGAGAACCATATGAAACCCTTAAATACACTATTCGGGCAAAACGCAGTCTTACAGACTATTAAAGGAGGTGGTGCATATAGTTACCACTGGGCTTCAAAGGGTTAACAAAGAACATTTGAATAAAAAAGAAACGAATAATATGAATCAGATAATTACACTAATGTATAATTACTCACACATTTAATCAGAAACATTTCATGACTTCTTTCAACTTAACAATTTATGTCAACTGCTTACTACTAGGTTTGCATTGCTTTGAAACCATCAGTGTTAAAATTATTTTGGGTTTTCCAAATGCAGTCTCTGCTCACATCCACTTATTAATGAAAAAATCTAGTAGTGGGGCAATTAAAATGTATTTCATACTCACATATCTGTAGGTGTAATCTCAATATTTTTAACCTTGTGTAGTATATCCGTTTAAAATTGAACTCCTTTAATCTAGTAACCTGCTTGTTTACCCTTTGATAGCTGTATCATATCTGCTTACATAATGCGAAACAAATCTTGAATATATATTACAAAAATACCTTGAATTGGATTATCAGTGATTACATGGTGGGTTCTTTAAAATGGAAGATGGTTTATTTCAAACACTATTACAATTAATAATTTCCTTGATAAATGTTCTGTTGCTTTATAAATGAGTCTTGATAACAGACAACCTTCACACTAGTTATCATTATTTAACTTTTCACAACTACACTGCTATTATTCTTCATCACAGTCAGCAACTGCACAATATTCCTGTGTCACGCAGTCAACTGCTCATCCACTCACAGCCCACTCTGAACTAAGAACCATCATAACTGCAAATTTCCTTGAAGCATTTTTGACAATACATTATTAATTTAAGATACTTATAGTTACTGCAAGACCAATACAATCACGGATGCAAACTTATGCTATCTTATAGTACAATAAACACATGATTATTCATATTTGGATAATCCATTTTGCAGATTATCCAAGGATGACTCCACATAAAAATTTTGTAGATAAATGTGGACATGACGATTTCTGTCTTCTGGGTTGTTGCACTGTGTAGTCTGGTTGATGTTAACCAACGTTTCAGAGGTCATACTACCTCCGTCAGGACATGTGTGAACTAGAATTAAACCTCTTTCTGCACTATACTGTCCATTTCAAAAGGGGGCAGGGTAGTTTTGGGAGAGCCTACATAAGATATGGTCAAACAATACTTTTTCTTTTTTCTTTTTGGCGCTTTACAGTCAGTATCAGCAGTGGGGTGTAGAGGTTTGCTGTAATGATAATCATGGTAGAAAGAAGGAATGTTACTGGTGTTTGGTACTGGAAAGGCTTACCAACAAGAACCCATACATTTGAAAGAAAGAAGTGTGCTTCAGGCAGAAATCATGTAATGAATGCCTTGTGGGAAAGCATTCATAAATCACAAATTAAAACATCTAGTGATAGGAAAAGCCAAAAAACCATGATTACACAAGGCGACCAAAGCAAACTGCATTTCTGTTCATTATTACAACCACAAAGGAGCATGGATGGATAGCATGACTTTTGAAAACTGGTTCCACAAGCATTTTGTTCCAGAATTTTGAGCTTTCCTGAAAGGGAGATGTTTACCACATAGAGCAGTCCTTCTGCGAGATTATGTCCCTTTTCATCTAAGAGAGAGCATAATGACTTCTAATGAGTCTAATCACTGTAAAGTTTTTGCCCCCCCTCCCAAATATCACAGCTATTACTCAGCTCATGGTCTAAGAGTGACTGAGTCCATAAAATTATGCTACTGAGCTGACCTTCTCTCAACTCTTGCTGATAAAGATGTTAGCACAATATTATGAAAAAATGGAAATGTTGGATACTATGCATATCTTGGGCATCGTCTTCTGTGAATCCAGTAACACTAATTCAATCTAGGAGGGAAACTTCTTCCAGATCTAAAAAATGACATGCAAGTTTTTCCTAACAAAGAAATAAGCAAGTCCAAAATTCTGGATATGGTGTTATACGAAATATTTTGACAATGTCGATAGAGATAATGCTGAAGAATGGTTGCAAAGAGATGTTTGTAATCTGGGCTTCCAGCATGACAGGCATGGACACTGTCAATGCTGCTACAAAACAAAAGGGATAAAAAATGGGTGAGGATGACAGTAACAAAGAAGGACAAAGCAATGAGTGCATCAGTCACAGTAGCATGGCACTAAAGCCTGATGATATTTTACTAAACTACATGAGTCAGTGTGTGTTTGAAACTGACATTACAGCTGGCAAGAAAATTTGTACAGCTATGAGCAGGAGTCTAAACAATCTGCAAAAATAAGCAACCACTACACACTATTACTCAAAATATGCATCAGTTGTGTAAAAATTGTGAACTAATGTATGCCGTTTAGTGAATGCACCAAACAAAATATTTTGTATCATCCATGTTTTTCATTTATTGTGCATCTTGTCTTCTGTAGTTCACCCTAAAGATGGTATGTGCAATGTTTGCTAAAACGTTGCATGCCTTTCAGCATTTAATTCATTAATTATATTTCATCCAAGCCAAAGTTGTAAATTGATCCCATCATGTCAGAATTTTCACACATTTTCAGATAAATAACAGTTCGTACAAACACAAACCAAGTAAATAGGAAGCCTTATACCATATTGCACATGGTTATCAAGTTACATTCCATTTCAAACATAAATGAGGTTAAGAAAAGTCACTTACACTGGGACCCCATTGCAATGTTGTTAACAAGGTCTACATAGCAAAAGCACATTATAGTGAGTTGAAAACCAGCAATTTACTTTCTGGATACTTCTTTAAAAAACTTATGTGGGTATAGCCCATTACTTTTACAGATTTAACACCGTACAAAATCTCAGAGGAAACTAAAATTAATAAAGCTCCATAGGTATAAGCCAGTACAGCCACCATTTTGGTATAAAGC